CATCGTCCATTCTTCTTCGTAATTCGATCACATAATCTTCACCTGCTACATCTTCTCCAGGTCGACACCCAAACTCTAGATCACAAGGTAGTCGCATCTCGCGTCCGAATAGGACTTTGGCTGGTGTCTGGCCTGTTGATTCATTAACAGCAGATCTGTAGGCCATTGTGAAGAACGGGAGATATTAGTCCCAGTCTCGCTGATGATCGGACACCATCTTTGTCAAATACTTGCCAACTGTTCTATTCATTCGTTCTACCATACCATCCGATTGCGGATGATAAGCCGTAGTCCTTGTTTTCTTCATACCTAGTCTATCACATATTCCTTGGAATAAATCGCTTTCGAAGTTCCTGCCTTGGTCACTATGGATCTCCAAAGGCACTCCAAATCGGCTGATATATTCTTGGATCAACTTATCTGCAACGGTGGCCGCCTTCTGGTCTGGAAGTGCGTAAATCTCGACCCACTTAGTGAAGTAATCCATTACTACCAACATGTACTTGCCTCCATTATCACTTTCTGGAAACGGCCCAGCAATGTCCAAAGCTATTCTTTCAAACGGGCTTCCAACGTTATATTGTCTCATAGGAGCTCTCCTTTTTCGATAAGGCCCGTTACTCGTAGCACAAATAGTACATTTCTTACACCAGTCTTTTACATCGTCGGAACTGTTCATCCAATAAAACCGTTCCCGAATTCGCTGAAGGGTCTTCTTCACACCAAAATGCCCTCCTGATGGACTGTCGTGTAACTGACGAAGTACTTCGGCTATTCTGCTCTTTGGAATCACCAACTGTCTTCTCTTCTCTGAACCGTCATCATTTTCCAGGACTCGTTTGAGCAAGCCATCTTCCATGATAAATGAGTCCCACTGGGCCCAATACGTCTTAACTACTGAGCCTAGGTTCGATATTTCTTGCCAAGGTGGTCGACGGTTTTCCTCTTTCCATTTTCGGATTTTCTGTATAACTGGATCTCTCTCTTGTTCTTCCCTGATCTTGGTAGGCGTCCAGTCGTCGTGGACCACCGTCGTTCTTAGCACTGCTGCTTCCTTGGATTCCGTTTTGTTGCAGTGAGAACACTCTGCTGGGCATGGCCTTCTGGAAAGAGAATCAGCGTTTCGGTGGCTAACTCCGGCCCGGTGCTCAATCTTAAAATCATATTCTTGGAGTCGTTCGATCCACCTGGCTATCTGACCCTCTGGATTCTTAAACTGCATCAACCACTTAAGGGCGGCATGGTCGGTTCGGATTAAAAACTTCCTTCCATAGAGGTATTGATAGAAGTGCTCTACTGATTTCACTACTGCCAGAAGTTCTCTTCTCGTGACGCAATAATTCCGCTCAGGTTTTGAGAGAACTTTACTGAAATATCCAAGGACTCTTTCCTGTCCTCCCTGAATCTGGGACAGCACTCCTCCAATTCCCACATTACTTGCATCTGTATCTAAGATGAACTCTCCTTCTGGCAGTGGATACCCTAAAATCGGTGCTGTGATTAAATGCTTTTTTAAGGTCTCAAAGGCATTTTGGCAGTCTACATCCCAGCGGTATTCTCTTGCTTCCTCTGTAAGTCGCGTTAATGGTTTAGCGATATCTGCAAACTTCTTAATAAACCTCCGGTAATAAGTACATAGTCCAAGAAAACTTCTCACTTGATGTTTGTCAGTTGGTTTTGGCCATTCCTTAATGGAATCGATTTTTCCCTTATCCACGGCCACTCCTTCTTTACTGACTATATGACCCAGATAATTGACTTTACCTTGAAACAGCTGGCACTTCTTGGGGTTTAACATCAATTGGGCAGCTTTAAGTCGATTAAAAACGTTTTCTAAATTCTTCAGATGGTCCTCAAATGTCTCCCCCAAGACGATTATGTCGTCTAGATAAACTAGGCACGTTTTCCAAGATAACCCTCTCAACACATTTTCCATAAGTCTCTCAAATGTCGCAGGAGCGTTACAAAGTCCAAATGGCATAACGTTGAATTGCCATAATCCAGATCCTGTGGTGAAGGCTGTCTTTTCTTTATCTACCGGGTCCATTTCTACCTGCCAGTATCCAGACTTCAAATCCAAAGTAGAAAATAATTTACTTCCAGCCAATGTGTCTAATGTGTCATCAATCCGAGGCAGAGGATAACTATCTTTCTTGGTAACGTTGTTCAGCAAACGGTAATCCACACAGAACCTCGTTGTTCCGTCTTTCTTCTTAACCAGGACTACCGGAGAGACCCATGGGCTCGTAGAAGGTTCTATCACCCCGTCTTTCTTCATTTCCTGAACAATCGTTTCAGCTTCCTCTCTTTTCGCCTGTGGTAATCGTCGAGCTGTTTGACGAATTGGCTTAGCATTACCAGTATCAATTCTATGCTTAACAACGGTAGTTCTTCCCGTCTTTCCTCCTTTCGGTACGAAAATATCACGATACTGCCGAAGAAATTCCCTTAATTTCCTTTTCTCAATCTGATTCAGAGACTGTCCAGCAACTGCAACCATTTGATCAAATTTATCGTTGGAATTATCAGACGTTGTTGTCTGACGGATTATGGATGTGACAGGTACACAAGTTCCTACTTTTGTCTCTTTCTTGATGGTCACTGGGTAGTCATTGACATTAATAAGTCTCACAGGAATTTCTTTAGCCGAAGTCACTAATTCTTTTCCAATTATGATTCCACGGCCAACTTCGTCGTCATGATTCCAAGGTTCCATCATAACAGGTGTTCCTTCGTCCACAATTCCCTGTAGCCGCGCTACTATTATCGTTTCACTTCTCGCAGGCACGACTGTATCTTCTTTAACGGCTGCTTGCATAGTGTTGTCATCATGTGGATGGAGAAATACCTCCTCGTTACCAACTTTGATTACCTTATTCTTAAAATCCAATTGGAATCCATGCGCATTCATTACGTCCATTCCTAATATAACATCCTCTTCGATGTCAGCAACTATAACAGTATGGACGAACTTTTCTGCTCCAATTCCTAATTGTACCTGGATTTCTCCATGAATGTTGGCATTTTCACCTGTGGCGGTCCGAAGTCGCAATCTCGTTGGTAACAGTTTCTTTCGGCTGTTTATAACTGTCGGGCGTATAATGCTTCTGGTCGCTCCGGTATCCACCAACAACGTATACTTTTTACCATTTATTTCTCCATCTACATATACACTATCTTCACGACATTTCAAAGAAGCTATTAGTATCAGAGGGTCTTTGGTAAAGTTCTGGGTCGAAGCTGCTCCCCTAAGGCCGACGCGTTCTGGTTTTGTCTTCGGTCTTATGGTCTTCGTTTGCTTGTGTGTCATGCTTTTTATCATATTAAAGAGCTGGTCCAGTTTATCTTCATCTTCTTCCTCTTTTACAGTCCTAACTTTACTGTAACCGCCAGAGGCCTGCGTAGCTGACTCGTATTCGAGGGCGGCGGATAAGACATCAACCAGCGTCTTGTGACGAGCTAATCGTAGTGTTCTTTGCATCTCATGATCACGAAGACCATCAATAAACGTTTGAACGGCCAACTTTTCCATCATGTCTTCGGGAGCTGTTGGATAAGCATATCGTACTAATCTGGCGATATCTACTTCATATTCTTGAAGGGCCTCATCTTTCTTTTGTCTTCGATTTTTGAGCTGCGACTGATATACATGCTCCAAGTGTTCGTGGCCATATCGCATATTTAACCTCTTCTTCAGTTGTTCGAAATCATCCGTCTCCTCTACGGCTATGGTCTGGAGCACATCTAAGGCATCTCCTCGAAGAGCGATAGTCAGGTTTACAGCCTTTTCTTTTTCAGACCATCCATTCGCTCTTGCAGCTGATTCGAACTGTTTCATGTAGTTGTTCCATGATGATTTTCCGTCGAAAGTTGGAACCTTGACATGAACATAACCTCCGCTTCCTTCAAATTTCGGCCGTGTTTCTAACTTACATTTCGTCTCGTCTTCTTGTGTCTCTATGGTAATTGGATTGTTTACTCTCTCTGTTGTGTCTGTTCCCTCAATCTTCCTTTCCAACTCTTTCCATATCTTCTCTTCGAAGGCCATCATATCGGCAGCAACTTGGTTTTTTAATGAAGACACTCTATCGTCGAGGGCAGACATCTCAGAGGTGACTTTAGAGATGTTAGCAGAAACCTTGCTTTCCAGAGAAGCAATCTCGTTAGAAACTTTGCTTTCTAAGGATGAGATCTCGTTAGAAACTTTATTCTCCAATGATGCGATATCACAGGAAACCTTGTTAATCGATGAGATGACAGCATCTTCAAATATATAAGTTTCCGGATCTAAACCTTCTTCTTCCAAAGCCTTCTTTAGTCGTTGGACTAACTCAGCTTTTTTTCCGGTAGAAGCTAATTCTCTATCCTCAAGATGCCTTCTTAGATTCGTAACTGTGAGCTCGTAAATCGTAGCCATTGTTCACCAATTTCACTTCTTTTCAAAAATTCAAATTAAATTTATCTACAGTCCCACTTCTGCACCACTGTTGAGTTTATATAGTTCTAATTTATATGTCTTTATTCTAATTTATTGTCTATAATCTAATTTATTAAAACTCACGATAACTAATTACGAATTTATTAAAGTCTTTACTAATTCTAATTTATATTACAAATAATAATTTATGTTTCGTTACATTTAAATATCGCGGTTGCCGAGCTTCTTATCACTGACTGCCAAATAAAAATCTTTCATTTATATACACAACTGTTGTCATCCAGAGAATTCGGCGGACTTCTTGAATAGTCTCGTATTTTGGTGAAGGCGCTCGACTCGTTTTTCAACCTCGAGACGTGGATGACTCACCAAAATTAGTGTCTAGAGATTTCTGGTAAACAACTGGTAGCTAAGCTCAGGTATATTTTGACCTACAAATTACGAGAATAAATAAAAAGAATTAGTCATAAAATATTTACAGTTCTATATGCCATAACATTTAAAATCGTAACAATATGTTTATTACAATAGTATGGTTTTAATAATTTATTATTTTTTCTAGGCAACCAATGAAGAAGAACTCGAAGCTGCCATTGAAGCAGCTTTGGAAACTGGATACCGCCACATCGACACTGCAGCCGCATACCAAAACGAACATGTCATCGGTAAAGTTCTAAATAAATGGTTGACTTCCGGTAAGCTTAAGAGGGAAGATATTTTCATTACTACCAAGCTTCCAATGACTCATATCCATCCCGATATGGTTGAGTCGTCTCTGAAAGAATCCTTACAAAAGCTTCAACTGGACTATGTTGATTTATATTTGGTGCATTTCCCTGTACATATGAAACTTATTGAAATGGGAAAACCTATGGAAACTTTACCTACGGATCATCTGGCTGTTTGGAAGGTAAGTGTACTTTATATCGATTTAAAAAATTTAAGGTCTTTTCTTATTGGAAAATAATACTCAGAGGCCTACTAACCTTTGGGAAAAGAATGTCTTGTCTGAAGAAAGTCTTTAATTTCATTACATTGCTTAACTAGATATTGTCCCTTTGCTTCTCGTATTTTACATCAAATTTTTTTTTGTATACTTATGAAATACTTTTTATTGTTTTTTGGTAGTTGCCGCTGTTGAGTTGTCTCTAAAACAAAATTTTCGTTCAGGTGTCTTTGAACCGTTCTCTTAACTTTTTGTCTTGTAGTTGGACTATCAATGTTTTTGCGAGACTTCATTTGTATTTTTTTGCCAAATCTACACAAAAAAAACACATGGCACTAATACAGCAAACTTTGACACCATAAAAACTTCGTTTTTTACGTTTTTTAACAGAGTTAATGTTACAGGAGATGTGAAAAATATTATGGTTAAGGTTTTTGTTTTCAATGCCTATGAATCCAAAAATCTACTACATTCATTTGTAATGTGCTGTTTATAATTTTTTACATAATATTGTTCTGTATATGATATAAATAGTTTCTTTTTCCTCTCTGAGGTCGTCTGATTCAAAAGATCTCCAGTTATCACTAAAGCTGAAACTGAAACAATTATTAAGTTGTTTCCTGCATCCATCCTATAATTTTTGTAACATGTGAAAGTTTGTACAGGTCTTTTGCTTGGTGTGTCCTAAATATAACAGGGTCTTCTCTTGGTTACCATAGTTTTTTTCACTTGCGGCCTAGCGCCCTTCAATCGCATAATACATGTTTTGCAGTTTTGTGGTTCATTATCTTAAAGTCTATAGCTAAGGCTAATACCTATGTGTAGGCTAATTCCTATTTTAACTCTGAAGCTATTTTTTTGTAGCATTTTAAATTAATTACTATTTAAATGGGAATAAGCCATAATTAAAGGTTAAAGTACGTTTATTGACGTTTCAATTTCCACTTCGGAAATCGTTCTCATGCTTAATATTCCTTTTGCTGTTCCTCAGTTTATTCCTGTCTATACACACGGTCTACCAATGAAAATTTGGTATACAATATACAATATTGTATACAATACCGCCCATGATTTTCATGAATTTTCAGCTTTTGGTTTGTTTTTAGTAAGCTCTTTTAGCAATCTAATCTGTTTGTTCGTTGCCTTTAATACCCTGATGTCCTGGTATCCAGACAAAATTAACTTTATTCCTGCCTCCCAGTTCATTTATTTCTCTGACACACTTCCACATCAGTCTGGACTTCACTTCCTGGCACGCTTGTGTATTTATTGTCGCTTGATTGTCAGACAATGTATGAATCTGCTCTTTTTCATGTACTCTCTCATTATTTTCCTTTAAATATTGCAGTATCGCATAAATCTCCACTTTGAAATCGGTGCAGCTGCTCCCCAAGGCAAAGCTTTTGCTAATTTCTGGATCTTTGTTTCTCCATACATACATATTTGGAATATACATCCTGTATGAATTCTTGAATTTTTATTTCTAGATTTTTCGTCATATGATCCGACTCCACATTAATTATGACCTTCGTTGCAGTCCTTTCGATACACACATATCCTTCCCTTCAATGTAAAGTTTTACTAATTGTTTATTCTGTATATCTCTCCAATCTTGCTTATCTTTGTATTATCAAAAGTAAGGGAGGCAGATCTAGTAGAACCACCATAGCTACTATTGAAGTGATACGCATGGCATTAGTTACCCACATACACGCAGGTCTTTGCACTTTGCAGAGTTTGGCTTTTGCAGCTGTTTAAAGTCTCCTATATCGTAGCTGCATTGGTAATTGGGGATTTATTCAACATAGTGTATCTCCAGTGCACTCTTTGCGGTCTTAATCTCCATCTTTTAATTTTCGAGTCTAGTATAACCGTGAGAGACTTTACCTCTCTCTTTAGCTGAAAATATTGTCCCTACAGCATATATAAATGATTATTTACACCTTTTAGAAAATGGAAGAACAAGTAGACGCTAAGAGAACCAGAACCATTGGTCTTTCCAACTTCAACGTAAACCAAATCGACAGAATCGTGAAAAATTGTAGAATTCAACCAGCCAACACTCAAGTGGAGTTGCATGTATACTTCCAGCAGAAAAAACTGAGAGATTATTGCAAGAAACACAACATTGTCGTCGTGTCTTACGGCTCACTTGGATCACCTGGATTAAAAGTCTTGATGAAAAAATTCGGCAGGTATATAGTAAAAAATGTGGTTATTTAAAATCAATATTTACATTAACGTATTGTAACCTACAAATCAAATCTCTACATTTTAGCGAAGTCGAAATTCCCAGTCTTCTTGCTGATCCAGTGGTAACTAAAATCGCAGAAAAACACAACAAAGCTACGAGCCATGTGCTCTTAAGATATTTAACCCAAAATGACATCGTTGTTATTCCCAAGAGTGTCAAACCAGAAAGGGTGAAGCAAAACTTTAATTTCTTAGATTTTACGCTTGACGCTCAAGACTTGAAAGCTTTGGAGGCATTGGATAAAGATGTAGATGGAAGGTTGTTCCACATGGATATTTTAAGTCCTTCGTAAGTATTTATTTTCTTTATACGTACGTATAATTTCAAAAATCCTTAAAAGTCCTTTAAATTAAAGTCGTCTCACACTTTTATGTTTATAATATTCAAATTGTAGTTAAAATGTATACAATTAAAAATAGTTTTAATATCTTTTCTTTTCAGTCTTAAAGATCACCCTGAAAATCCATACAAAAGCTGAAAACATTGACGGAAAAAGAAACGAAGACAAGAACTGTGAGAAGGTTAATTAGCGCTATTTTACATGCAAAAGTAAAAAAGTTGTGAAAGTATTTAAAAATAAATTCTAAAAATATTCTTGGTTGTTTTCTTTCTGTCATAATAGTTTAATCTGATTTTCTTTTAATACAATAAAAACATTTTTAATTGCTCAATAAAATAATAGGGAGTTTTTAAACCAGTAACTTTCTACACATAAATATTTATAAAAGATAGAATACTTGAAAGCATCAAATGGAATTTAATGTTACTGAGAATAACGATGAATTATCTCAATCTACTTCACAACCACCTTTATCCTGTCTTACTTAGCTGCACCTAGTAAACAATAAGAACCAACCTATCCATCCAAACTACAAGCAATGGTTTTTAATTCTCTCAATAATATCAAACTAGAGGAATACTTGTTAGCGATAGACACTCTAGTAAGTCCAAAACATATTCTTTTTTCATCAAGAATCACCAACAATCGTATCTATATTTATTTCTCAAGCAAAATAATCTTAATATCCAATGTATCTTCCACTATCCCGCATAAGATAGTAGAGAAAGAACTTTTACCTTTTGGGTTAAAACTAACTTCATCAATGTCATTTTTGCGAATAGGAACTACCAATCTGGAATACAAACATGTACTTAGTTTCTACAAAAACATTATCTATAACCCACTGAATAACACACAATACAACGACTAGAGTTAGGGCAATATCAGTACTATCCAAAACAAATGTATCCACTTCACCAACCACATCATCCCACACAAGTATTACTAAACAGTCTTCATCTTCCAGTCTACACAATAATTCTAGCTATCTTCTAGCTCACAAGTATCTATACCCAGTCTTATAATAAGAGATTGCAATAGTCACAACCCAATGTGGGGCTCAACCATTTTTAATACAAAAGGCAGACTAGTCGATGACTGTTTATTAATATAGATATATTAATATAGCCAATAGAAAATTAATTATAATCTTAATAAAAAATACCTGCATCAAATACGTACAACATTTTCTAGCTTCTATCACGTATACACAGATGCCTCTAAAACATCTACTGGAGTTGCACACATACCGGCAAGCTATATGCCATCTACCAAGCTCTCACTCATATAAACTACGGTAATATTATCCAAAGCTCTTATAATTAACGATTCTCTTAGTATCATCAGTACCATTAACCAGCTTTACACAACACATTAAATTGCTCTCCTAATTAAAAAAGAACTAGCTACCATAATGTACAATTTCTATGGGATCCTTCGAACATATAACTTGAAGGGAACGAAGAAGCAGACCGCATTGCCCCGCGTGAGAAACGGAAGATCGAAAATTTGTGACAAAACCAGTGGGACAATTCAACTTCAAAACTTCGCGAAGTGAAAACATATTGAAAACCGTAAAAATATGAAATTTCCCAACAGAGCTCATCATGAGACAATTGTAATGTTCCACTCAATGTTAAGCATGTCCTTGTGGAATCTTCAAGGTAACAGTTGCAGAGATAGATCAACCATCAACCACATCATCGGACCAACAAGTGAAATCTTACGAACAAAAAATGTAAAATTGAACAATTGGTAAAATTCCTTAAAGAATTAATATACTCAACAAAATTTAATATTTATAAGTAAATTATCTCATGTATATGTATATATGTCGCTAATAACATCAGGTTGATATGACAATGTTTGCAAATAAAAAAAAATAGGAACATCACAATGCAACATTTGAAATCTGTAGGAATCCTTATTTTTTATTTCATATTTGGATTACTTAAGCAAAAGGCGAAGAAAAGCCATCGGCAAAGAGCTACATGAAAGGTTCATTCTCAAAGCTATTAGACCTTTTTTAAAAACTTTTTTTAGCTAGAAACTCCCCTTTTATATTGCAGATTCGGATTTTGCAAAAAGTTCTTAAACAATTGTATTCAGAACCATAAAAATTAGTTTGCGGACTTCTGAGCTGTATTACAGCGCCATCCATAGCGAATCAAAAGAAGAAATAGATGAAACTTGTCTACTTTTTCACGTAGAATCAGAATCTGCAATAAAAATGGAGGTTTCTGGTTAAGATTTTAAAGTGCCCCACCTCCAGGGATTAGGTGTGGGGTCGAGTTTGGAGTGATTCGATATTTTTGAAAAATGAACATGTGGTTTTTAATTTTTCATTGTGATCATTCAGAGTGTATTCTCTTGATATTAGACCGTTTCCATAATTTGTCTAATGTATGATAAATCGTTTTTTTTTGTCGTTTAGAGCTTTATCTATCAACAATTCGAAAAAATGTCCTGAATAAAAATTACTTATTTTTTTATGAGGAATCCAAATATGTAATAAAAATTGGGCTTTTCATTTAAGATTTCAAAGTAGAGAGTGGAGCTAGGAAGTCGTGTTTGGTATCATTCGATAGATTTTTGAAAAATATTGAACATGCGAAATATTCGATCGTACCCCTTCTTTTGGCACACCCGGTAAACGTATATCATACATAAAATAGTAGTAAAAATGTATATTTATTTTCTTTTATATGACAAAAACGTGATTTTTATCTTTTTTTGCATTAAAGTTTCATCAAAGCCACTTCTATATGAAAAGTACTATCCGTCTTCTTGCGATATACCTAATGTTATATTTAAAACTTAAAATCAATATTTTCTCATGACTAGTCATTTCCTCTATGCAAAACCACCAATTTAGAACATAAATTCTTAGATGCCGACTTCTTTATGCCAATTCAACAATGATATCAAATTTAAAATGTTCAATTCAGTTTGAGCACGGTATACATATAATATTTCTTATACAACATCAAATTACATACATAATTAACTATTATATTCCGTCCTACAAATCCAGTATAGAAATGGAAAAAATAACTATATACATAAGAAATTGTTTTTTAAATAATTATGAAGGAGGTAATCAAACTTATATGTTCTTTATTCTAGGGATTTGAGCCAGTATCCGTAAAGAAAAAAAAATTTGCAACGGCTTTCCGTACAAATAACAACCTAGGCAAATATGTTAAAAACTTCTTCTTCTTCTTCGGGTTCCTTCTCCTAGCGGAGGTTGGAAATCATCATCGCTATTTTAACTTTGTTGGCCGCATTTCTGAATAATTCTAATGAGCTGCAGCCGAACCACTCTCTCAAATTTCTTAGCCAGGACATTTTGCGTCGTCCAGGGTTTCTCTTCCCTTGTATCTTCCCTTGCATAATCAACCTCAGTAATACGTACTTCTCACCCCTCATTAAATGTCCCAGATATTGAATCTTTCTAATTTTAACAGTTTTTATGACTTCACATTCTTTATTCATTCTTTGTAACACCTCTGTATTAGTTACTTTTTCAATCCACGATATTTTATGCATTCTCCTGTAGCACCACATCTCAAAGGAGTTTAATTTTTTTGATTTCAGACTGCTTTATTGTCCACGCTTCCATGCCATATAGTAAAGTAGAGAAGACGTAACAACGTAGCATTCTTGTGCGAATCTCTAGATTAAGGTTACGGTTGCAAAGTAATTTCTTCAATTTTATGAACGTGTTTCTTGCCATTTCTATTCTAGATCTGATCTCCTTTACTTGATCTCCATCTTCGGTTAGCCACGTTCCTAAATATTTATATGTTTTTACTCTTTCTATCGTTGTATTATTGATGATCAGGTTATTTACATTTTGTGGTTTTTTTGAGAATATCATTGATTTCGTTTTCTTGAGATTCATTTGCAGTCCGTAACTTTCACATGCATTGTATACATGTTGTATTATGTACTGTAGATCTTCCATGTCACTTGCAAATATGACAGTATCGTCGGCATATCTAATATTATTAATGCTATTTCCGTTGACATAAATACCTTCCACGATATCCAATAAAGCCTCTTGAAAAATCACTTCACTGTAGACGTTAAATAAGAGTGGTGAAAGGATACACCCTTGTCGAACTCCTCTAAGTATACTTACTTCCTCTGTCAGTTCTCCTTCGACTCTTACTCTTGCTTTCTGGTTTTGATACAGATTCGATATAATTTGTAGATCTCTACTATCAATGTTTTTAGTCTTAAGAATACTTAAAAGCTTCTCATGTTGAACTCTATTAAAAGCTTTCGTGAAATCAATAAAGCAAGCATATATGTCCTGATTCATATCCAGGCATCGTTGTGTCAGAACATGGACTCCAAATATAGCTTCTCTAGTTCCTAGACCCTTTCTGAAACCCATCTGTGAATCACTTATTTCTTGTTCTAATTTCATGTAACAACAGGAGCCAAAATAAAAAAAAACACTTACATAGTGGTGTGTACACACTTAAATGTGGCGACTGCCCAAAATCTTACATCGGTCAATCTGGTAGAAACTATATATAAACGAATGGCAGAACATACAAGGTCTTTCAATAATAGAAAAACAGATTCTACATACGCACTTTACCTTCTATACTCCATTCCACGAATATACGACTGTTTTAAATTCGCTTTAAGGTGTCGACTTAAGTGATCCAATGTGCTGAATTGTACAATGGTAAATTCTCCCCATTTTTAAAATACTGTTATAACAGATAGATAGATAGATGATATACACCTTAGATTTAAATATGAAGTTATGATCTAAATATAGAATTGATAGTTTATAGAATAGTTGTAATTCAGATTTTGACGTGTACTCGTATAATTACTCTCATTGACTTTAGTATTGTAAACAAGTTGGTTTTTGAATTAAGTGATTTAAACGAATTGTAACAATACTTAAGTGATTAAATAGTTTAATTTATTTAGTCGAATATTCAATTAGTATTAAAAAATCAAAAAAAACTTACTCTTACTTTTATTCTCCTAATCACCATTACAAACAAATACACTACACTAAACTCGGTACTAGACACTAGACTCGGTACTTTAACTATCAGTAGCCGCCATATTATACCCGTTACTTTCGGAACTTTTAAGAGCATACCCACTCAAAGCAAACAAAAAACTAACAAAGTGGAATACTAGATTCTTTTTCTGTTTTCTGAACCATCGTTCTGCCAATTTCTTTTTATTTATATTAAAAATATTATATTTATTTTTATTACCGTTGTAGTACCTACCTAATAAAG